ATGCTCCAATGCTCAAATCCCGGCAAGCTGCAGTATTCAAGTGGAATAATCACATCCAAAAAATTCAAAACATATCAAATCTTATATATCTTATTGACTTATTGAGAATGCTGTATTATGCTGTGCATTGTGGATGAATTGCAGCTTGCCAAGTGGCCAAGTGGGCAATCCATTCAGCACTCATTCTGAGTGGTGGGTTTGCGCTTGGGAAATGACTTGTACGAATCCCATGTGCCGCCGTCAGACCACAGCAATGGGAGCCCGGATCTCCAATCCCTTTGGGAGTGAGACCCTCAGCGACCTACGGTGCAATGATGTGCAACCAAGTGCGATCAAGTGCTACCTGGCTGCTACTTACCTCGCAACCTTCACAACCTTCACAACCTTCAGAACTTTTACAACTCTCACAACCTCCCTGCGGTTGTGCTGTCTATTGCTGTCTTTGCCTTTCGCAAAGGCATTTTCTGCAATCAGCTCATAGAGCAAACTTGCAACGGGATCACAGAGGCGTTCCAAAAATGGGAGGCCCTTCCAAACCAGAGCAGGCAACTTTCAAAAGCGGAGACCGTCTGTGTTTGGACCGTGTTTGCTGTTCCCCTGCCACGGTGGCATCACTCGAATCTGTGCAGTTTGCCGCCAGCTCTGATGGAATGGCACTCATGTCTGCCAGTTGTCACAAAGCCAACTGAAACGTGACCTGTAATGAAAACGATGCCAACCTAAGCACACGCTGTTTCAACTGTTTGCGGTTTTGGAAAGCTGATGAAAGCAGTCGGCATCGAAATCTACAAATGAAGTGCCTTGCGTTGCAAATGGCACACCAGGGCTGTGAAAGACGGCGAAAGATCTGCGAAGGATGCTACTGCATCCCCCACAGTCGTTCTATGACCTAGGCCTACATTCTTCCTTGACTCCCCAGTGCGAAGTGCACAAATGGCAACACAGCAACACACACCTTGAACTCTAACTCTTTGATATTCTCTGTGGAGACCGTTATATATTGCTGTATATATTTGTTTTTGGTTTTGCAAAGTCCAGCCGGATTTTGCGGGTATGGCTTAGCTTTATGCCAAGTCAACAACTTGCAGCGCTGCAAGTCATCAGAACGACCTGCCATGAGCGAGGACAAAGATGATTCTACAATATTCTACACCTTCCCCATAAGTTTCACGCATAGCATTGTTCTGCATCTTTATGTATTGTTGAGGAAAGAAATGCTCTAAATAACTACATGGCAAACGACGCAAGTTGCTGAAGACGACTCTCTGCACAGTCGGTACACTGTCTATGTCTGCGTATGGTTGTCTATCTCTCTAATATTCCCGTACCTCTGCATACTCTTCGATTTGTCTTCGATTCACCGAGAAGATTTCTGAATTTCGACTTCATGGTCCTGCAAGACCTTTGAGTAATATGAGCAATTACTTAGTGGTTAAACAAATGCTTCGAAGATCTTACAAGTTTAGATTATAGAATCGTAGAAGTACTGGTTATAATATGTTATAATCTGGTTATACTGGTTGCAGTGCTGAAGCCATCCGACATCCCTGCAGTATCTTGCCGCGATGCGATGCGGCGATGCGGCGATGCGGCGATACGGCGATCTGATGCGATCTGGGCCTAGCTATCCTAGCTGTAGCCCACGAAGCCCACGGTCTCCAGGATCTTCTCCTGGAGCCCGAGGCGAGGTCAAACTTCAGTGAACTTGGCACGTGCATTCTGATCATTCTATCAAATCTAAGTCGGACAAGGATGGACAAGGTCCAAGGTATCAAGAGATAAATTCAGTGCAAGAAGTGAAAGCTGTGAGATGTTGTAATTTGTTTCCGAGCCTCTATATCCTCGATGCTGTCTTGCTGCTCAAAGATCAGGTCAAGATCCTTATACGTGTGATCAGGATGTCCAAACCCTGCCCAGGCATCTGGGTCAACATTACGGGGGACATAGAGGATGCTTTGCAGATCTATGCAGTCTTGTACCTGGCTTGATTAGCTGGCCCTGCTTGCCTTGCTCTCTAGGTTTTACGAAACAAGCTCGCTATGTCACGATATGTCACGATGCATCGCTATGCGGCTATGCATCAAACTCCAACCGAGTATATAAGGTCTGGACATGATCAAGGGCCAAAAAGCGGTCCAAGTTACACAGCCTTGCTCAAATCTTCTCAAGTTGGTTGGAGGATGTTCAAAATGTTGAAGGATGTTAAGGAATGCTAAGATATGTTAAGGCTGTTAAGGGTCCAAGAAAGTTAGAGTGAGATGATGCTCTGAATTGTTGTGGCATGTTGTGGCTGATTTCCACTGGTTCTGACTGCAAAAGTTGGAAACTATGAGAAGCCAATGCCTTCTCACATCCATTTCTACCGATTCACCAATGGCTGTGACATCTGTGAAGTAGCATCAAATTACAAACTTACAGAACAACTCGTGTTGACATAGCAACAGGATGCAACAGGATGCAACAGCAATGACGAATGTCTGTTTTCCTTGGCCTCCGGCAGGGACCTCAACTCTAAGCTCAGCATCTTCAAAGAGGGATCCGTCTAAGGCAGCCGCTGTGATGAATCATGCGGAATCATGCGGAATCATGCGGAATCAGAAAACTATGGAGAACTTGTAGCCGTTTGTTCACCAAAAATCTAAGTTTCTGAAGGTGCTGCGTGTTGAACAGTGTTGACTTTGACATAACCAGTTCGTTTCGTAGCTTGCAAATTCCGATGATTTTTGTACATCTCCTTACGCGCAGACCTCAAAGTCACTCGTCTGTTTCAGGATTTCAAGTTTCAGCGCCTGAAATTTGATCGTCTTGCACCAAGGCCTCAGTTTCAGAATGTTTCAGAGACGTTCTGCTAGGGATCTCATGGGATCTCCATGTGTCTCAGTGCCTATGAGAATATGATGAACATGGCAACATCAAAAGCAAGAGATCCATAGATCCATATGAGATCCATATGAGATCCATATGAGATCCATAGGGTTGCCTGTTCCGGATCTCATCAATCTCATCTGTTCTCTATCTTTCAGAATTTCATCTACGCTCCTGCTTGCTGCATTCTTGTTGCTTCTGTGGCTTGCGTCTGGTTGATGCTTACGCCGAGGGAACTTGTCCTACGCTCTGAGCAGTCTACATTGGCTCTCCCGCTCTGCATGCTTTCTTCTCCAAACTGGCAGCTGCTTTCCTGTCACAGCGCGGTATACTTTCGTCAGCATCAAATTGACTTCCCCCTTCTCTTTCCAGGGTGTTTCACACGAATTGCCAGATGTGACGTGCATTGCTGGTGGCTTTCCATTTGGCCCATTGCCAGCCTAGCTGCTTCACGCTCTGCCATAGAGTCGCCAACTGAAAGGACGTTCAACCTGTCGGCAAGCGAATCACCAACATCAATTCCTAGGACCTAGGAACATCAGCAGCACAGCCAGGATTACTGCACGTGCTGTCTTGCATGTCATGACATAGTCTCTGTCAAGTGTGAATTGTGAATGCAGGCTAGCAAAATGGGTGCAACTCAGAACCACTAGCCAACAATATGACATTACCATCAAGATACTGCAAATGGGATTCTTTTCTTCTGCTTGCAAAAGGCATCTTATCTCTTGGCATGTTTGAGTCAGACCAATTCAGACCATCCGCAGCCTCGTTCCGTAGTCCCGCTCAAGACTGTTGATGAAATCGTCCATTGCCTCGTATCTAAAGGCCATATGCACACGCTTTCCTAACCGCAGTGTTCCGATATCCTTCGAGCAGGAGGATTGGTTTGGAATGGTTTGGAGAATATTTTGAGTTCTACGACTTCTACGAGTTGTGAAATGTTCACCACAGGCATCAGGGAGAGCTCGGATGCCCGGGCCATGCGCTTGGAACATGCAGGTGGAGTTTCCTCAGCTGTCATGCGTTTCAATTTACGAAGCACAGAGTACGCCACCTGCATCATTGAAAACGCATCAGCGACAATGTTCCAGACAGGACATACTCAACGTTGTCGAAACAGGACGAACTTCTCTTGTAGCTCATGTTCCAAACTGATTGGCTCCTTCAAGATCTTCAAGCGACAAAGTGGCCGAAAGTTGCTGAGTTCAGCACAGGGCAGAGTGGATTCCTCGTTGACTTCCGATATTCTACCGCGTAATACCTGTCGCACCCCATGTCAGCAGGTCCCTTTTTCCCATTCAGAGGGCCTGCGGTTTAAGTGGAATAATGAAATGGAATTCCGCAAATTCAGATCATTCAAGTTTGTAGGCAGGATGACATTTCAACACTCATGCATTTGTGCACAAAGATCACAAAGGTCTCTGAGACCAACTGTTGAATCTGTTGACTTGTTGATACTTTTGGCATGTACAAGCTTGGCAAAATGAAGCCGTTCATCAAGCTCTCTCAGAGTTCTTGGTCCCCGGACACAGGGATGTCTAAATCGCGCAAGAGGCGCTTCAAGTTGAGGCCCGGCAAGAAATGCCTCAGGTGAAGGAATAGCATTGGAATAGCACTCGGTGACACACTGCCACGCATGGTCTTTCCGCATGGTCCAAAATTCTATCTGCAGATTGTGCACAACTATCGTGAAGCCAACTGGTCTTGAGAGTTCCAAGGAGTTACAGGACTCTTCAACATTATACAAAATCTGCAACTCCCCATTTGTCTCATTTTGTTGTTTCATGTTGTTTCGAAAATCTCTTGACGTCGTATCAACCTATATGTGAATCTAATTGAATCTATATGTTATGCGAACTTATCTATAACACTGTATACCTGTATATCTATCTAAAACATTGTAAAATCATCGTATAATCAAACTGTGCATCTCACAACGACTCCGTTCTTCCGTTCGTGGCGTTTTTTGTTGCTGTCTTTTTGTTGCTGTCTTGGCTTCCTGGCTCTGCTGAGTCGTTCACCCATGGCCTGGCAAAGCGTAGGAAGCTACACTTTGGCGAGCTTCGATGCAAAGGAAAACAAGATCATAAAGTATTTATTTATTATATATGATTATTACATATTGTAATATAACAGAAATGAATAGAAATGGCATAGGAACATAGGAATTGCATAAATCAGCTTAGACTCCATCATCCATCATAATCATCATATATCATATTTATGTTGTTTGCAAATCTCGTGCAGCTGCTGTACTCCAGTCCAGCCTCTCTGCCAAGGTCACAATAGCAACATGAGCCACCGACCTTTCAATCGAGATCAAAATGTTGTGCAATTCATCAATGGAATATAATATGATATATATAATATGTAAAATATGTAGATATAGTAGGACCGCAAGTGTTCCACATATGTCCAACGCTGAAAATGTGCTGTATCTTATGAAGACTTGTGAAGTATCAACCTGGCAATGACAAGTTTTCGACGTACCTGCAGCTGCACTGCTGCACTGAAAAAAAAAGTTCCCTGCCTTGCAGCCAGAAGCAGCTCGCGAATGAGATCGCAATGCGAACTCAGTGAGAGTCCATGAAATTTGTGCAACGATGTGAAGAATGACTCATAAAGACATGAACACAGGGTAAATGTGATAAATGTGAGCGTGTCTGAGCTGGACAAGCTTTTGATTAGCCCTGCAAGCGGTTGCACTGAGGAAAGGTGCTCTATAGCCGCCTGACACGGAAAGCCTCGGGGGTCGACACATGGACATCTAGGGCTCAAGTCAGGAGCACACCAGAAATGTCCTGTGATTCCGCAGTGATTCCAGTAACGTTCTGCAATTACCAGGATAGGAAATCATAGGGATACTTCTGAGGCAAGTGGGTGTGACAATGATGAAGGATGATAAAGGATGATGAAGGTATATTGAAGAAAAGGGCACGGCACAACGGCACAACTGACAAGTAAATACAATAAAGTTCTTTTCAAGGCACCACGCCACCGAAATTTCACATCTGTGGCAAGCTGTGTGTGTGTGTGCCATCACACCCATCCGATATCATCCGATGTTTCGTGTGATTTTCTAAGTACCGGGCCCGAGTTCCTGGCAGAGACTTGGCAATGAGAAAAGGCTCTGGAAATCCTCCATTCTGGGGCAATATGGGGTAACGGTTTTTCCAAGGACTTTCTAAGCACAGGTTGATCATTCCGCTGTCGTTTAGCCCAGGAGAAAGGAAATCTAAGAATCAAGAAAAACACACGGTCCTCGAAACCTTGCTCTTTCGCCTCAGCAGCAAACAACTGCAAAAACGCAAAACATGCAAATGAATGCCAATTGATATCCAATAACCTCAATCAATGAATGCTATCGGAGCTATCGAATACTGATATTCGTTGATCTGGCGGTGCAAAGAAAGTCCAAGGTCAGGACACAGCTGTCCGCTGGCTCTGGCCACCAGACCTGCAGCAAGGCTCGTTCACAGTTTATACACATATATATCATATATATATATTATGTATATTATATATTATATATATATATTATATATATATATATATATTATATATATTATATATATATATTGTGAATGGTGTGTGGCCACACACACACTGGTAACTCGCCCTTTGGGTCCCCGACCTCACAAAGAATTGGATCAGCCCTGTTGATCAAGATCAGATGAAATACCAAATTGCCAAATGATGTCTGTTCCCAACAGAGATAAATAATGAGCCCTGTTCAGCTGGTGACCCTGTCAACCAGTAAGAATCCGCAGCCGCCGATGTTTCACCACGAAGCCATGCGTCGTCCAACGACGTCCCTACCTCGCCCTCACCATGACTTGACAGGTCACATTACAGGCAAGGCATGAAGTTCATATGCAAGACCAAGACATACTGGCAGCTCACATCAAGGATAGCTATGGAAATTTCACACTCCCAAAACTCTTTATTGATGTGAGAGGGTTGACTTTTGTTGCTGTAACCAAGAAATCGCTTGTTTCCGGTGAGCATTTGTTTGAAGACTGGCCTGTTCATCAAACAGTTGGAAACTTCCGGATGCTAGGGCTACTCGGAGAATCGCTGGATCCATTGGTTTTGTCAAGGGATCCGCCAACTGCAGAGACGTTGGGATCCACCGTTCTCTTATCAGCAGCACTTCAAGGGTGGTTCGATATTCTTCGCATGATGGAATTGCAGTACGAGTGACTAGGTCGTAAAGGGACTTGCAATCAGTTACAATGATAGCTTTTTGAAGACCTGCCAAAGATTTGGAAGGTGTTCTCCAGTCAAAGTTTTTGATAACAAGGGAACCCCAAAGAAGTCTCATCCAGCTTAGTTTATCTACCCCTCGTGACATAGAGAAGGCCTCTGCTGATAACGTGGATCGAACGACACGTGCAATCTTTTTCGAAGACCAAGTTAGGGGGCTTATTGGGGCTTGAAGGTTATCTTGAAGTTTCGGGGTCGTGGCATATACAATGGTTCCTTGAAATGAAGACAATTGTTTTTGGCTGGCGAATGACGCATCTCCAAAGACTACGTGAGTAACCTGAGGCACGGAAATGGACCGGAAACAAATTCTTGTGTCACTAGTTTCTTGGGCTTCCCGAAGCAACTTGTTGGCTGTCATCAGTGTCTGAATTGTTGGTTGTGAGATTTGAACTTGAATCTCACCAAGCTTGGATGCCAGGTCTGGTCTCGTGTGGGTCACTGCATATTGAATACTGCTGACTTTTCAGCTTCGTTGGCCGGCTGTTCAGGACAGTTTCTGCGGTGTTTGCCAATTTCGATGGACACAATACCATGGACATAGTCTTGCTGAGAAGCTACTATGCTATGATCAGGTAATTGTTCCAACTGGATGCCTGTGAAAACGAATTTCCTTTGTTTGAACGATCCAAATGGCAGCCTTTGTTTCAGGGATTCAAGTTTTTGATGAAAGATGTGGTCACCACCACAGATCCCGTCATCAACGTGTGTACCCAAAACACCATGTAGTATACGTTCACCGTCTTTCCATGATTCCAAGTAGTGTATACAGGGCTCTAAGGGATGTGGTTTAAAACCCAACCGTTGCAATTGTGAAGACAGTTCACGATAAAACAGCAATGGTGCATCCACTCTGCCGTATGCGTTTCCTATCAACGCACATACCTGATTGTCCTCCAGTCGAAGCTTTTGACGCAGCTCTCGGGGAGGTTCCATGGCTAAGGGATTTGCATCATCAGCACGCCCCCTCAAGAAGGCAGTACGGATGTCGAAAGAAGACAAAAGCCATTGACATGATGCTATCACCTGGTATGACGGCCCTCTCTGGTCAGTGTCGGTGCGTCTCTAGCAACTTCTGTTAATCTAGGATCCATGTAACCTAAAACCACAAGTCGGGCTTTGGCTTTACGACTGTTAACCTGACCATCAGCACCTTCAATTGGTTTCCAAGTGAGTACCCATCTCGATCGCAAAATCTGTTCAGGGTTGAGGGACTTTCTCAAGATAGGTTTCAGGGCACCTGTCTGAAGCCAACATGTCAATTCGGCGTCTTTGGCAATGTCAAACAATCTACGATCCGCCGGTGTTAGGTCCTTCAATTGAACCTCAGCTCGTGCTCGTTTTCCGGCACTGGCTACACATGCAAGATCTTCAGGTTGGTTGGATTGTGACCATTTCAAAATATCCTGGCGAGTCATTGGAACTTCCAACATAAAACATTGTTCTTCCTCGTGTTCAAGTGGTTCATCTATGTATGGAAGGCCATCTTCAGCTAGACATACCTCAGCATCTGTCTCACCTGATTGAAAGGTCATCCAGTCGTACACTGGTTCTGGATGTATCTGTCCCAGAACCTCCTGGCATGTGAGAATGGGTTCACTGCAAAGGCCATCACTGTCATCTTCGAGATCCAGCGCAGGAGGATGTGAACCCGATGGGTTAGCCTCTGGATTCTGTTCAGGATTTTCTTGAACATGACTTTCGGCTGGTGTTTCGGCTTCAGAAGTGATCTGTCTGGAAAATGATTGGTTTTCAGGAAAATTTTCACTTTCAGGTTGTCCTTGAGATTGCTGGCTGTGTGGAGTCGGAATTATTCCGGGTGCAACACTGGGTGAATATCCTGGACTCTCAGGTTCCCCTGGGTTCTCTATCGTCCTGTCTGGAGGCCTGAAAAGATCCTGCTGTTGCTGGATCATGGGACCAAGGGGATCCCCACTGCTTTGCCATTCGCGAATGGACGCTGGACGCAGACTTTCGGGAGCACATCGCAGCACTCTATGGGCATGAGCTACCCATATCGTTGATGAATTTTCTTGGCTGATGATTTTGGCTGGTCCATGCCAGCGCCCTCCTTCACGTCTGTTTGCCTTTGTTTGATGTCTCCAGTACATGACCTGTTGACCTTCATGATATGAACCTCGAACTGGACATGAACGACGAAGTAAGGCTCTTCGAATGGCTTGACTGTTGTCTACACCTACAAATGTCTTACGAGCAAGTGATCGAATGTCAAGTGACTGTCTAAAACGTTCTGAATCCAAGTCATGTCCCAAGGCTAAGCTGTGTGCTCCCGATTCTTCATCCGACGTCAGGGATGCTGGGAGTTTGGTAGCCTTTCCAAGCACTATTTGTTCGGGTGAGTATCCACGGTGTTTGCACATGGAATTCTTGGCTTGAAAGCATGCTCTCAACACGATGTCAAACTCTTGAGTGCTTTGGATGCATTTTTCTTGATCAAAACGTGTTAACATCTCTTTGATTAAAGCTCCATGACGTTCCACTCGACCCTTTTGCCATGCTTCCGTGGACAGTTTGGGAATGATGTTGTTGCTCTGCAAAAATGCGAGCCATTCATCCGAACAAAACTCTCCAGCGGGATCGGAGTAGACATTTGAGGGACTTCCGGCCCATGCAAACCACATATCGGAGAAGGCAGGCAACACGTGTTCCAGATTTCTGTTATCTAATCGTCTGCCAATATGGAAAAGTGAAGATTCATCAATGCAATGAAACACCATTACCTGAAACCCGCCTTGTCCTGACCAGAAAAATCCATCAATACCCACGGTGTCGTTGAATTCCCGGGGTTCGTGAAGTTGAGCTGGGCGCTGATGTCGAAACGAACTTGATTCCACACAAGCGTCACATACAAACTCTCGAGCAGCATCAACAATCTTGGGATCTGCACCTTGTAAACGAAGGTGTTGGGATAACTTTTCTGGATCTGGGTGTCCAAGATTCTTATGGAGTTTGATGAGTTCATTCTTCTCAGTTTCGTTCAAAAGTCGGAATTTTGGTCCATGCCACGCTATAGGTGGAGGTGCCCAGCCTTCACAAACTGCATTCGGTGTTCTTTGTGTCACCGACAGGGGCAACTGGTCAGCCGATCGAACTCGAACAGCTGAAACATTGGGATCTTCAGGAACAGGCTTTTCGTCATCCCGATTAGGATGGCTGACATGCAAATGCTTTTCAGGCACTTCGGAAATTGCAGGCTCAGACACTTTTTCTGTTCCAAATACTGTGATGGTCATCTTGCTGGGAATGCAGTTTCGAATGCGTCGTGCACGAGTCATGTTGTGCCAATTTTCTGGTCCTAAATCATGGATTTGGTTGGTGTGACGATGCAAACAAACTGTGTATCGAATGGGGCATCCATGTGAGGCAGGTGCATGAATTGGAACTTGAAAACGTTCCGTGCCACGGCAAATAAAAATGCTTTCAACCTGAATCTGGGGCACGAGCTGACATACCTGAGAAAAGATCTCTGAGTCTGCATCACATCGCATGTTGCCTACTCGGGGAGCAGCACTTTGTGCCAACTGCATTACAAGTTGCCAGGGCTGAGATTCACCGGCAGGTGATTGCACTCCGGTTTGCTCGGGAACTGCACTTGCCTCAGACCCTACGATGGCTGTGTCTGGAGGATGACGATTTGACCCGCTGGCATCATCAGAGGTAGGTGGTGTTTCTAAATCCAAAGGCTCATTTGGCTTGCGACGTTTGTGTGGATTGGCAAGAAACTTGAATCTCTTGGCGGGCGGTTCATTCTCATCGTCCAGATCTATGGCCAGCGCTTCGGAAGGCAGGCACATCGTGTGGGCTCTGTGACACAGGAACTTAGCTATGGCCTTGGCGAAACCTTGGCAGTACGTGGCACAAAAGTGAGTCAACTTCGTACTCACACCATTCAGGCTTATCGAGCCTTCGATGCGCTGATGAGTGTGTCCACCAGGGCACTTGTGATCATGCAACAACTCATGAAACTGTTGGGAGGTGGTCATGACCATACTACCCTTCTTCAAGTATTTCTGGGTTCCAGGAATTCTAAGGCCAAAGCTGCACATGTCAAATGACGCTAGCATCACATGTTTGAGAATGGGAATCATGACATCTTGCTTGATCAAACTGGATCCTTGAGGCTGTTCCAAGTGAAAATGTCGTTGACGTTTGATTTGATATTGACAAAGTTTGACACAAAGTTGTAAGTGAGGAAGCTGCTCTCGTTGTTTGTTTTGAATAGTATCAAACATTGACATGCTCTTTTGTTGGTTCAGGTGATTCCATCCACTCCATGGGCCACATTCAGGAGCTACCCAGATATGTTCTGGCTGTGTTCTTTCGATCAAGGACCATAATTTGGCTCTTCCGGCAATGGTGGACAAATCACCGTCCTCTCGGGAGAAACGCACGCTCGGCAAACCAAGCTGTTTCACTGCATCAGTCAGAGGGCTGTGGCGTCCAGCATACACTTCCAAAAGAAAAATACGGTCTTTGGGAAAATCAAGCTTGGGATTGACATCACACATATGTTGATCAAAAACTTCTTCGGCTTTGTGGACCTGTTGCAACAGTTCTTGTTGAGAGAGATTCCAGGAACATTCATTGGACATATCATTCCGGGTTTGCTGGATCTGTTGATGAAACTCAGGGTTCATCACACTTCCGCTGCTGAAGCCTCGGCTGCTCTTTGGCTCATCTTGAGTTGGCCATATCTCACTAGATCTTGCATCTCCGGTGTCAAGGACATGAATCTCTTCTGGCACCACTCGAGGTATGCTGGATCCTGTTGCAGGGTCTGATCGAAGGTCTTTCCTCGATGTTTCTTTCCCCAGCTGACAATCTGTGATCCCCACTCCTCGATGGATCGCTGCTGAGCCAGTTGCTGACGAACTGGTGGAGCAATCCTTGACGATGGAGGGGCTTTGGCACTGATGATCTCGATCTCCTCCTCCTCCACAATCACGTCGTCGTCGGACTCCGCTAAGCACCATTGCATTGGAGGCTGTGAAGGTCCGACGCTGGCCATCCGGTGATTTGCCCCAGTTCCAGAGTGATCTGTCGGCATAGAAGGACTGGCCACGGACTTGGTCTTGAGGTTCTTGGAGACCAAATTTGCAGTGCTTCCTTGACTCTGGGAGTTCATCTTCCGCTGTTGCATGAAGTTCTCCAGAATCATACGTTGACTGTGAAGCTCTTCCATCATCGCTTGGATCTGAGTGTTGGACTCTGGTGGAGCCTCGGCAGTCGGGTTGACCACTGGAGCAATCTCGATGTGTTGAATCATCACTTGAAGCAGCAGCGTCAAAACCTGAATCAACGATTCGGCCACGGTCTTGAAAAGATTCACCATGGTCGGCATTCTGGCAAGTCTCGGAGAGACACGATGGGAAATTGGGCGGATCGCTTGGGACTTTCAAAGCACTGGCGGTGGTGAAACATTTTGATTCTGGCTTCTGTCTTTGGCGAGCAAACGAAAACTGTACATTCAAATGACTCAGCGACCCTTGTTCACCGGCATGTTCATGGGTTTTCAAACATGACTCCCCTACAAAGGCTGTGGACTGATTATCATTTTTCATATTGTCATTCCCCTGACAAAGCTCACCAATATCTATGAGATATAACCCCGTATTACTGATGGTCAAAGTGATGGGCTCAGAGTGAAGGCGATGCATTCGACATGTGTCATGAACTGCGTCCAAGACTCCACCCAGCAACTTGAAAGCACGTTTTGAGAAAAGGAACGGAGTACTGCCTGGCACTACTTCTACGGCTAGCCAAACAATTCTTTGGTCACATGCTCTCAAAGGAAAATGAACTCTGAAAGAACTCGTCAATGATTCATTGTTTCCAAAACGGAATTTGATCTGACTTGGACTGGTCTTCAATTTGTTGCTGACTGATGTTGGCAACTTGCTTTCAGTGAGTTCAAAACTTTTTCACCGATGATACATCGACTTGCTCCTGTGTCCAAAATGGCATGTGAGGAGCCATTTGCCACACTCAAAAGGACTTGCGCTTCGGCTTGTCCAAAGTGGACTTCTCCGGTCATGGCTGTCTTGATCAAAACTTCAGGTGTCCTGGCAGTGGCAAACGATCGGTGACCAATCTGTGTGTGATTCATTTTGGAGTCGGATGCATTCGGTTGCATGGCATGGCTTTCAGTACCCTTACCCCATGTCTTATTCATCTAATCTATCCCATTATGATTACCCTTTATCCCCTGAGACCCTTGGAGAAATCTGGACATTCGGCTGTGCAGACGTTGATGATCACTGGCTGTGATCTGAAACATGGCCATGTAACAGACTTCTGTGGGACAAACTTCGGAGACATTGGGACATTGGGACATGACATGATGGACTGGGGACAAAACACGTGCCTGTGAGTCAGGTTCAGGTTCAGAGTAGACCTCTTCCTCCAGGCACTCGTTCTCATCCTTGGCAACGTTGGCTGATGCAGTTGGATTCACATTGTTCTGGTCCTTGGAGTTCATCGGACATTCGGCTTTCCAATGCCCCATCATGCCACACTTTCTGCAATGTGACCGGGCAATCCTGGCCAGCAGCTGCTCACGGGATCTTTTGCCCTTGGATTTCCCCTTGGACATCTTCCCAGAGCCACGGCCTTTAGTCGGCCAAAAGCCTCGGTTGCGGCGCTTCTCCAACAAACGGTTCCTGGCTTCAAGGTACGTAGTCATAGCATCATGCATTTCAGGTGTCTCCTGCAGAAACTCTTCCAGTTCATTCTCGAAAGCACATACTGTAAGAGCATCGGCATCTTCCTGAGCAGCCAATGCTTCAATTGTCTCATGGTCCAGATCACCTTCAAAGTCATCAGTATTGGAGAAAAATGCTCTTTCAGGTTGATCAGAACTCTCGGGCTCCACATTCTCAGAGAGATTCACATCATACACACGGGTCTTGGTGGCATGTTTACCAGTCTGAAACTCATTGAAGAAGCGACTCCCAAGAAGTCTAAATGACTTCACCACAGGTTTGTATTTCAACTCCCCTTCATGTTCCAACAAGATACGCTTCTTGTCATCAGCCGGCAAAGTCGACTGCCTCAGTAGTATGTAGGCCTGGACCTCTTCCAAGGTCGTTCCACGTGAAATCAACTCCAAAAAGCTAGCCTCCATGCGAGACAAGTAGGAATCGTGGCTTTCATCAGCCCTTTGAACTGTACCATAGATCGAGCGCTCGAAAAATTCGTAGCGCTCCTCCAGCTCTGTCGAGCCCCATGAGCCTCCAATGGCATCGACCAAGAGTGCGATACCAGATTGGTTGGGCACCTTCAGCTTGTTCGGATCCAACCTCGCCACCTTTTTGAAGGCGGATCCCTCCACCAGCAACGCTGCTCGTGGTGCAAGCTGTTCCAAGTGCTCCGATGGCCAAATGGCCGCTAAGAACTTCAACTTCTGCACATATTCCTGGACATTTGTCGAGCCTGGAATGAATTTGGGTATGCTCTGCCATGGTGGTTGTGGAGTCAAACTGGGTGTACCCTGGGTAGCACCTGCGCTTGATGGTCCAAGATCCCCATCGTCAGGCACGGTGACACCAATGCCTCCACCTTGCATCGCTGCAAATCAAAAGTCAAAACTGTAAAGGCCCCCTGGATGTCCGCTCTTGCGGTGAACCAGCACCGGAGCCCTTTCGGGCTCCGCTACCAGTGTGAATGGTGTGTGGCCACACACACTGGTAACTCGCCCTTTGGGTCCCCGACCTCACAAAGAATTGGATCAACCCTGTTGATCAAGATCAGATGAAATACCAAATTGCCAAATGATGTCTGTTCCCAACAGAGATAAATAATGAGCCCTGTTCAGTTGGTGACCCTGTCAACCAGTAAGAATCCGCAGCCGCCGATGTTTCACCACAAAGCCATGCGTCGTCCAACGACGTCCCTACCTCGCCCTCACCATGACTTGACAGGTCACATTACAGGCAAGGCATGAAGTTCATATGCAAGACCAAGACATACTGGCAGCTCACATCAAGGATAGCTATGGAAATTTCACAATATATATTATATATATATTATATAAATATATTATGTATTGATCAAAAGTTGCTGAATCAGAGGCGTATCATCAGTCTCCTCTTTGATGCCTTTCCACTTTCTCAGGCAAATCCATGCCATGCTGAGGCCTGTTGGGATAGATCTTCAATGCATCTCGCAAGAAGCTGGTGGGAAGCAACCTTGGATTCGGCCGGGAGCTCTGTCAGTGCCAACAATTTAGTGTCGCACTGTGTAGGTGACAATCAAGAGACACTATCCAACATGAATCTAAATGTATGCTATCAGGCTATCAGTAGCCCCCAGAACCTCAAATGATTCATTCAACCCCAAACAAGCCAACATAATCCAACAGTGCTGTGTGCTTGTCAGACTGGATGCCTTGAGTTTCTGACGTGTCATCCCAATCGAGGATAATAACGGGGGCCTTTGGACAGTGATCCGAGTACAACCCCTGCCATCTCCTTGGTTTCCAGAACGTGTCCTGTGATATTCCTGCAGTTGCTTTCTTCAGTAGTTTTCTTGGTATCACAGGGAATACTCCATGCGCTTTGGGGCAACAAATTGTATCGAATGCCAACGTTTCTGCTTATTTCAGAGTTTGCATCAGGGTGAATGGCACCAATGAATTGAAACTTATTGAAACCGCTTTGATGACGTTTCCACAATCTTAAAGCTTGGCGTCATTTGTTTCCAGAGGATTGTTCTTGATAACAAACTGATTGTCATTACATGGAACCACATCTGCAACATTAAGCAACATAATATCCGGATTCCTACATGTATCAATGAACTCCAGTAGTTATTGCGCCCCTTTGCCTCTGGAGGGCCAGGAGAACGGCAAGGAGAAAGGTTGTCCTGAATAGACAAACCAGCGCTTTGCAGCAGCGAATTGGAAAGATATGGTTGGTCACTTGTGCCACGAATTCAGCACTTCGGGCAGAGCTTCTTTGGCCAGCTCCCTTAATGTGTTTGGTCAAATGCCTGGTTTGGCAAGGTTGGCGCTACAAGCAGCAAGCTGCCAAAACGCGCCCACATGCTGTGAGGCGGGGGCGGGCTGGTCTCGTTTTGATGTTTTTCCGTTCCCACAGTGACGCGGTGCCTTGAAGGTGCTTTGGGTCTGTTCGTGCGTGCATAGATTCTAATAGATCTATGGTCTTGCGGAATCGGAGTTGCAGATCGCATTGTAATGGCTATATGATGCTATATGATTGTTGACATCCTGCGCAGATACATGCGGTTTTGCCACTTGGCGGTGCTCATCGCATCGTAATGGCTGCGTGAATGTTGCATAGGACCTGTGTTGAGAATGCCAGAGCGCGAAACATTGCGTTTTTTTTATGGTAAACTGGCTGGAGCGCGCTGAAGGGCAGCTACTCTGTGAGGCGGGTGCGGGTGCGGGTTAGGGGAGTTAAGAAAAGCTTCGATGAGATGGGAAAGGTTGAGCAGTGCTCAGATGAGATGAAAATAGTTGAGAAGAAGCTCAATGACGTATGAGGCGAGATGAGATGAGATGAGATGAGGTGAGATGAGGTGAGACGCGGTGAGAAGAGCTCGGATGAGATGAAATGAGATGAAGTATGAAGTATGAAGTATGGCAGAGCTCAGGGAGATGAAATGAGATGAAGTCTGAAGTGTGAAGTGTGCAGTTTCAAGTGTGACTTTTGGAACGCAAAGTGTCGCTTGGTGTTGCCTTGCAACGTGAGCGTGAGTGCCGGTCATGATCATTGACAAGAACGGTGCAGCAGTTTCACACAAGGCACGCACGCACACACGCAAGCACGAGCCTGGGTGGCGCAGGGCGCATGCAAGTTCAACAGATAACAAAACCTCTTATAGTACAACCCTAAGGCAACTTCCGCCCCGCATGAAGCGGGTACTACTGGTATTGTAGTAGTTTTCTCTCTCTGGGATCTCAATTCTCACCTTTGGAGATGCGAAGGGACAAATACGCAAACCTACTTGCACCAATAGCACCAGCATGGTTATTTGATCACAGTTTCACTCTTCGGATGGCACTCAATCAAGCTCTTCGATTCAATCTTCGATTTGATACAGGATACACAGCAATGGAGACGGTGGGCAGGTATATGCTCTGTTGAGCGTTCATATATAATAATCATAAATACACGCTTGACTCACACCGTGGCATTACTACAACAGTTTGCTTGAAACAATACATATGGGTACGGACGACAAGATGCAAAGAGACGGAAGTAAACAAAGCTATGAGTGATGGATTAAGGTCCACACAATGTAGCAATCACTGTCGCCGTCCTGCAGTGAAGCTAAACTCGGCTTAAAGCCCATCCGAATACATTCTGAAGGCTTCAAAATGAGTTCAAAATGAGCAGATCTTGTATTTGCAGACCCTGGAGCTTTCAATAACGACTTACGCAAGCTGAAGTGATAGCAATGGAGACACAGAACTAAGTTTGCCTTTCCATACTTTTTTATGTTTCTCATTGTTTCTCCATGTGTTCGTTGCGTAAGGCGTAAGTCAAATGAAGATGTGACAGATGGCTCTGTTTGTTTCATCTCCAAATCCTGGCCGTCGTCTCCTGGCTCCGGCCCGTGGCGTCCGTGGTGCTCAGGTCCGAGTCTGCGGTCGGGCCTCAGAACGCACAGAACGCGAGGCTTTGGACGGACGATGGGTGATCTGTGGTAAAGCATGGCAGATCAAAAGACACTGATGCATAACGTAATATAATGATATATAATGTAGATATTGATGATTATCATTACATGATATAATAACGAATACTGATGATTACTGTAGATTTAGAGTTTCAGGATGACACAAGGAATCGAGTGATTTTTTCATGTTCTTTTTCTGGATTTATCATGCTGTGGTGTGATTCACTCTTCACTTAGATCTTGATGTAGATTGAATTTCAACAAATCCGCTGAATTCGCAGTTGCTAAAGTAAAATCTTGCCGACTCATCTTGGACCATCTTGGATCATCTTGGATCGTTGCTTCCCACGTTGCTTCCCACTCGGTCACTCAGTGCTTCACATTTTGCACCGCCTGCCGGTCCTGCTGGTAACGAGATCTGACCCCTCGCAACCTGGCGCCGGCCAAGTCGGAAGCATGAGTTTCTTATAGTTTCAGGATCTCGGATCTTTCAGGATTCAATTTGCTTAGATTTGCTTATATTTGCTTGGATTTGCTTTAGATTTCAACTTTTCAAAAACTTGGCTCCCCTTGGCCTTAGGAAGGTTTTGCATTCCCAGCAAAGTTCCTCAGGCATCGCAGCAACATGGAAAGAAAGAGAGCACACCTCAACGGCTCAAGTCTGAAGCCAGGCCTAAGACATGAACTGATACTCTAGTGACTCTAGTGACCTACAGCGAAGGTTTTACAGTTATTACATCGTTGCATTTCAAAAGGCCAAAATAAATTGCATTATATTGCATTAGTGACAAAGAGTCCCATCAGAGAGATGTCGACGCTGCTCACTGGAACTTATCTTTTAGACTGAATCATACTGAACCCATCTTGAGGCAACTTTGTACCAATTACTAATTACCCTTACTGTACTTGCCTTTCCCCACACATTCCCATACTACATCACTACACCACTCTGCCCCCTACGCATGTTCGAACAGAGTGTGAACTTCACACCCCAGGCGGGCACCCAGATGCAAGGGGACAGAACTGGAAAACACATGGAAAAAAACATGAGAAACATTTCGTTCAAGCCCTGGAGAGCCAGTAGGGAAGAGAGAGAGAGAGAGAGAGTGGTTTTCAGAAACAATGGATTGAGAGATATTATTATGATTATGATGTTACAATTTAGTACAATTAAGATAGACAACGATGGATTAAGCGATAGAGTCCGATAGAGTGATAGTGGTGGTTGCAAGTTACATGTGCACTATGTTAGAGAAACAGGACGACAACTTGATAGACTCATTGATTGAGCGCGTGAGTGGGTCGAGTGAAAATGTGAGTGGTTGAAGCAATCTTGGAGTTCAGGATCCAGCGATTGATTGGCAGAATGAAAGAGTGATTCGTCAGGCGAAGTGAATGAAGTGAGAGTGATTGAATGAGCGAAGTCGTTGGCCATTTTTCGATCCTTCGCCATGGGCGAATGGTTTAACTGAAAACAAACAAACAAAAACTGACCCGGGCGTGCCACAATCTACTGTGATTATTCTACAACAATCTACAACATACTGAAAAGAAACGAAGTCTACATGGTACAAGTGCTTCCCATCGTCTTTTCTCGTGTGAGAGTCTTGCATTTGGATGTGGCTCTGCGAGATGAATTCGTGAGTGCGCTCGTGGCTCACGGTAATGAATCTACAGGACACATGCACTACCGTGCGCCGTGAGCGCTTTTCTATGTTTTTTTTATCTTTTTTCTATTCTTTTCTTCTATCTTATTCTTATTTCTGCTCGAAAGTTCTGGTGTCTCTGGCAGTCGGATGAGTCTGACCTCAAAAAAGTCTGGGGCTCCACACCTGAGGAAGTCTCATTCCTGCACAGAGGGAAAGCCAACAAAATCAACATATACAACCATAGCCAAGAAGCGAGAACCGCTGCCCATCCCACGCAGATGGAAACCACCAGCGAAATGGAGCGGATTCTCGTCGTTTCAAAGTGGTAAGTTGTTGCTGAGCAAACTTTGCCCAATGCACGTAGCTCTTTGACAAGACTTGTGAAAGAAGCTTCACACATACCAATACAATTCATGGAAGTGAAGGGGGGACTAAAAGGGTCTCGTTGTGGCCTTATTGTGGCCCCTGAAATCATCGAAATGTTCAATTCAGAACAGAAATGAAATGATTTCGATTGATTTTGTGCATCTGATGTTCAGTCCCCATGGAACCTGGATTTGCTCGATCGAGCATCCGCTCGAGGCCTCGCAAAGAGCTGTCAGGTGATTATCAGGCCCAAACCATTTGTTGTATTGTTGGCATATGATGTCCATCTCTGTCAATCCATGTTCCTTGTACTTTGCTGTGGCAATCCAACGATCTCTGTTCAATACCTCAAAAATCTGCAAGCCTTTCCAGGTGTGAGGGTAAATGGGGGGCCAATCCCGGCCCAGCCTGGTAACCAGGTGTCGATGTTCAGGAAGCCTTGACAAAAGAAGATTTAAAAAAAAAACGATTGCATGTGATAGCATGGAGCTTTGAAGACGGTCCTTCTTAGACACAATTGTCTCAAAATGTCTCAAATGTCACACGAACAAACAGATCAACTAAGAAAGTGGCAAGGGGTCGTGCTCCCTCATTGCACCCTCGGCTGCCTGGGACGTCAGAGAAAGCCATGGTAGCATCATGCTGAACTGCAGAACCACCACTGGCACTGTAGACAGCGAGAGTAAGAGAAGCACCACTGAAATATCTGAAATAACAAAAAACAATTCGGCTTGAAATATGCGCAGGCACTGAGAGCACGACGCCCATTCTGAAGGCTGTGAATTTTTGGGCCGGGCTGACAAGCCAAACTGGTGGATGGCATGTATATAATATATATTATACATATGTCATATGTCTCCTTGCCTTCACAACAACTCTGACCGAATGTGTGACAGCACTGAATGTGCAAGCTGGTATGCTGATATGCTATTGACGATTACATAAGTTGCTGCAATGTGTAAGCGAGATAGCGAGATTCCACAATCTTTGGATTGTGCCCGGCAGGGCCCAGCTGCCCGCAATTTTTCAAGCACCATGGCCATGCACTCATCACTGCTTCATTTCGCTTCTGATCGCTTTGCCGACAAGAGTCTTGGCCTCAGCGTACATGGACTCCAACACATCTACATTAAATCTACATACTAATTCCATCCTATTCCAAATTTAAACCGTGTTCAAACCCTATTTCATCATATTTCATCTGAAGCCTCAAACCATCTCAAACCTGAGAGCTGGGAGAACCTGAGAAAATTACAGCTGGGTTCAATGAAGCTGCCCGAGTCCCACTTTCGCTGTGCGGTGTCTGCGGGGTCTGCGGCGTTCGCAGCGCTCGCTAGCCGCAAACAGGCTGACGGGGAAAGGATAACTGTGGATAACTTAACACCGTCCACTTTGCGGATGGGATCAAGAGCGGAACTATGACGCTCCAATGCTTTGAGCAGGGAGCGACTTAAAATTATCACACTGAGGGTAGACCTCTTATCCCACATAGTCGGTGCGGCATGCACCAACATCTCAGAACGAGAATAGCGATAGCCAAAGACCAAATCACGCAGTCAACGATCACGTGGAGAGGTATCAGCCCAAGCACCTTCATGTCCCTGAATTCGACGATTGAGCATGGACATTCAAAGCCACCCGTGAACAAATACTGCGGGGTTGACTTTGGAAAGCTTGAGTGGATTGCATCATCCATGGACCGCAGTTGATGAACAACGGCTCGGCCAACCCCCCCATTGGATTCTAAAAGGTCGATGATGTCCTTCATGGCTCTAGCTTTTGGCTGTAAGGATTTGTCATCCAAGCAAGTGTCTGCTACTGCCTTTTCGCTTGGTCTGCAATACTGCAAAATTTCATGTGACTCCTGCAGAGTGTCGTCGTCCAAGCCTAAGGTGTCTTTTGAGCACGCGGTCCACAGGCCGTGAAGTTCAGCAGTGGTCCACAAGGCATCACTGCCCCGGAGGGTTGTGATTTTTTTGCCCCAAGGGGTCGAGTCCTCAATTGAGGCTTTGTCCATTGATTCAGCCACTGTCATCCATTGATATTGCTGATAGCAAGACATGATGTAGAAGCGGGGAATCATAATAAAGACCAGAAGGAAGAAAGCACCAAGACATGCGCGCTTCATCCATCGACCATTGGCGACTCGGTGAGCTTCCGGGTCGTCTTCACGGTCTATATTGTCTGTTTTGATGATCTTCTTCATGTTCTGGTCATATAAATTTTCCCGCTGCATTTTGAATTCGTGGAAACTCGCATGCCTCTCGGTCAAGTTTTGAATGGAAGCACTTCGACAGCTAACCCCACACGTCAAAGGAGCAGTGATGCTGCTTTCGGAAGCTCTTGAGCCGGGCAATGTCAGGTACTGATTTTGGATATATGTACCATTATGTTCTTGCAGCTCGAAGCAAATCCAGGGATGGGCATGTGGCGCTGAAGTGTCACACACGTGCATGGCGATTCTCCAAGTCTCTGTTTGGCGTAATAGCTTGAAAAGGACTCGAGGGGTCAGGAACACCTCGCAAAGCTTGGTTGGGGCCATGAAGTGCAAGCGCCAAATCGAGATGTTGACCGGCTGCTCAAAGTGACTATCCCGCACCTTGCACAGCATGTTGTCTGCCTCAGTTGCGGCTACAAAAAAAGATCCAAGGCACCAAAGGACCCCATGGTATACTACACAATACTATAGTATTACTATACGTAGAAGTCTTGCCCCAGCGGGACATGTCCAATCTGATTGATTAATCATGATGAATCCATGCCCAAGGGGCAAATTGAACCGCGTAGCCATCTGATTCTTCTACAGATGACCTTTGCTCAGGGCTGACTCCGCAGTCAATGCTGAAATAAAAGTCGCCATCCTGCACTCAATGTGTGTGTGTGGCAAATTGGCCTTGGGCAAATACTCTTCAGATGCTGTCACCAGTCACCATGATGTGAATCAAAATTCAAAAACAAACACCTCCATCCCCAAACAACATCAAACAAGTAGAAATGCATGTTCAGATTGTTCATTTCACCACTAGGAAAGATTAATAAAGATCCTCTGCGCATTTGTTTTTGGTCGTTTGGAGTTCCAGGGAACTGAAATATGTATTTGTGACTTTGTGTGACTGTACATCTATACGCCTCCTGTATATTATACACTTGTTCAAGCTGATTCAAAGCTGTTTTCGAGGATGTTCATGAGTTTCAGGAATTACTGCATGGACTGCTTGACAGGGCTTAACATGTTGTCATGATACAACTTGCCTGCAGGGGCCGACAAGGGGACCGAACCCATAAGGGCATACATCGTATACACAGTATATACATGTATATAACTGTATATACATGTTTATACGCAGTATATGAAGCGCAGTCTGTATACACTACACGCAGAAACGTAGCATGGTTGACATTTTATGAAATCGTATCCCAGAAGGACGTGCTGCTTTGGTTCCAGTCCTCCTCCAGCGGCAAATCTCCAACAACGACTTTGGAGATTATCAAAGTTCTGGGGGAGAGACCCAAGACCTTCTGCACTGCGTCTTGAAAGTTCAGCACAGCTTCTTGACAGGTGGCTGCACCGCCACAACGGCAGCAGCCAGCGTGAGAGAAGGGCAGTTCCAGGCAATGACAACAGCCCAAGCAGGGTGCACACCACGTCTTCCATCCGCAGCTACAACAGGCAACACCCAAAGCACCCTTCATACAGCTAAGTACATCGCCATGAAATTTGCGATCTCCGGCTAAACCCAACAAGATCCGTTCTTTGAAGAGGGCAAAGACCACCAGCAAGATTGCAATGATCAAAAAAGTCATCCAATTCATCATGATGGTCGGCAGCACATTGTAGAAGAGAAAGCCTGTCAGCGAGGTCCATGTCGCCATCTCGGAATCTGAAGCCAAGCTGCAGCCAAGCTGCCGAGCTCCTTCCGCGCCCTTGCCCACTGGGCCCAACTACCCTACTTACTGACCCAGCTGGCCACCATGTTCAGATCCAAACAGCTGTAGAGCAGTGGTGGTATTAATCCAGCGTGTTCCTCTCATGCTGGATAGCTTGCGACCAAGAGCCTTACAATGTCTTACAACAAAAGACCGCAAACAAAGAATGGCAACAACCGCTCCAAGATAAGAGGTTTTTCACAACAGAGACACGAATATCGATATACAGTATCGATTGTCTAGTTGGAGCGAAGATGGCTAGAACCAGCTCTGCCCTCAGTCTGCTGAAAGTTTCAGGGTGCTGTATCTTCCATTGAGACTTGAGACCCTTGCAATTGCGTTGCTTCGGCGGTTGCTTTGGCACCTGGCGCTTTGACGGGGAATCTTGGTCCATCGAGTTGCTTCAAAATATGCAGGTCGCAAACATATGGAAGGCTGTCAACTGCATGGTGCCTGCTGCCCACCATTGGGCCGTGTTCAAAATGGCCATGCATTGAGATGAAATTGAGCTCTCCTTGTAGTCTCCTAGATTTTCCCTTTTCATGGTAGAGAAAATCCCTTTTGCAATTCCCAAAACTACTTCTTTTTTGTCATACCTGACCGGTGGGACATCTCTCTTTTTCAGAGCGTAGCATAAAGACTGCAAGGTATTTGAAAAGTTTAAGGTGCGGCATCAAGGGGGTATTGCAAGTTTCGTGGCGTCAAGAGCGTAGCATCCAGAGCGTGTTGAGTATGAAAAAAGTTGAGAACATAGTATAACATGCGTGTTCAGCACACCCCACCCTACACAATCAACATCGAAGCGAGCGGCAGGCATATGAACCAATTGAAAGCACTAGAGACAAGAAAAAAGACGACGAAAAACACAAAATGCGTTCAAAAACACACGGCTAAATAATAGGGGCCGGGGCCAAATAGATAGAACATGATAGAACGTCATGGCTCTAGCTCAAGCCTTCTACGAACTGCCAAGTGACGCACCGAGCTACAAAGAATACTTGTGGCTAGTGTGGACTGGAGTGCTGCTCACGTTGCCGAATCAAATGGGTCACTGTTTCAGCCTGTACTCTCTGTCAATAAGGATAGAGACAGAATGCTGCTGGGCGGATGAAACCGAATTGAAGTAAACTATCAGATTGACAGCAGCAAATATAGCAAATTGAAAGGAGACAACGAAAAATGGAACAACAAAACCGGCTGGACCCATACAATGATTGCGGCAACATCAGGCAACAAAAGATACAAAAGCGGAATTGTCTTTCTGGATGCCACAGAAGTTCCAAGTCTTTGAACGCAACAACACTTCCAAAGAGGTTTGGCCCAGCGGAACCTCCGAAAACACGGTCACGCGCTTGATGCTGGGTCCGCAGTCGCTGACAATCCCTGGCATGGAGGTCCATGAACAGCATGATCATATCTGCATACAAGAAATGCAAAACTTACAGAACGTATATATATATATATACATATTATAAATATATATGTGTGTGTTGCATAATCTTGCAGCCCTACTGCAAGCACAAGTCTGAAATGCAGAATTCACCATTTTGATCATTTTGTCGTGCCGTGGCACATAGTGACACGCACATACACACACTGCATCACAGCTCAAGAGGCTTCGTCAATTCAATGACATCGATGCATTGATATGTGAACGCACATGAACGCACCCTATGCATACCTCACCACAGCCTAAATCTGCTGGTAATTCAATTCCATGACAGTTCACTCTTGAAACCACCACGCATAGCTTCAGAGGCGCCCAAGCTAAAAGCTGAAGAGATCACGGTTCTTTGTCGAATCGGAAAGCTGACCGTTTTGCAATCTTACAGCCTCTGGCCTTCACTTGCGGCATTCAACCACTTTCAAGAAGCACAGAGAAGGGGCACTTGATTGTCATCTTGGAAAGCCTTGCGTGGTGCTGCCCCAAGTTGCACTTGTCTTGCTGATTGAATGTTCGAATGTTGAGGGCTTGGGGCTTTTCATCAAGCTCTAGAGAATGCGGTCATCGAACCCATTCAGACAGCCATACAGAGTCTGTCACTCAATGACTACAAGCCTGGGAAGCTGCCTGGTGTGGTCTCTGGATCAGCCAGGCTGTGGATTCACTGCAATCAGTGCACATTTTGCACCATTAGACTGTGACCACCTTGGTTGCACCTGTTGCTTCCCAGGATTGGCATAAAATGCCAAGCCTCCGTGTGGATCCTGCTCCCCGATGCCATGCCGGGTCGCAGTGACGTCACCCCAAAAACCCTCTCAGAGACTCTCAGCATCGAAGACCATCCTTTCTGCGTAGCTGACTGGTTGGAACTTCCATCGATATCCTCCCTTCAAAGTGACACGCTGTTGCACACCTTGAAAGATCACCTTCTCAAATTGCTGGCAGCTTGACACTATCCCAGTCCAGCATATGCCACCATGGCCATGGTGAGTGTATACAATTCTGCTTGCAAATGATGTCATCTAAAGATATCTAAAGGATTAATTCAAGGCAACTGCTGTGAGTGGTTCAGTGTCACATCCCTTCCACAACTGCCATCGGCCATGACTGATGCCCGGCAGCATGACATGTTGCAAGAACATGATGTTGCAATCTGAGCTACTACAATGGGACAGCAGATATCGGATCTTGCTCGATCTTGGACCGAAAATTGAATCAAGGGTGGAATCTCGTTGCAGACTTCAGATACTTCAAACATTTGCATGCATGCTGATCATGCTGTGCATACGCGCTCGGGCGGACAATGATGACAATGGGTCTAAAAAAGAAACATGAGTCATGAGAAACAAAGTAACAAAGTCATCAAAGAAGTCAAATTGAGATCAAGGATGATCAAGGCACAAGCCCACTGAGGTGTGCCAATTTGAGAAATACACTCGCTCCAAATTGCTACGGGTTGCCGGGTCACGTGTTTCCTTGAAAACGTGGCCAAACGTGGCCAAACGTGACCAAACGTGACCAAACGTGACCAAACGTGACCAAACCTGACCAAACGTGACCAAACGTGACCAAACTCCCTTTCCGCCTGACATTTTTCCTCTTCGAAGCCACTTGGTGATTTTTGAAGCCGAGATCAGAGCTATATACACACTGACAAAATGAGCAGAAGTTACTTCATCAAGCACATCAAGCAAGTCTCTCAAGATATTTGCCAAACCAATCAGTGTCTCAAAATCATATGTGTTTGATTGATTTTGATTGCCAAACGCTTTCCGAAGGGGCTGAACAGTCCATATGCAAAACAGATTTGTGAAGTTTCTGAGCCAAGCGGTTTCCGTTCTCCGCTTCTGCTCACCTGGTCGCCTCCCATTTGGGTCACTGACTCTCTGCTGGCCCAGTCACCGGGCTCGAAGGGTCTGGACGGCGCGCAGCCTGACACATCTGCACCAGTCGCATCTGAATCATGTAAAATATTTTAAAATCGCATTGGCAAACAAAGAATCGAATGAAAATGTGTGAAATGTATGTGCAGTATGAAACATGACACTTAATCTAAACAAATCTATTACAAACGACTTCTTCCCTGCGTTGAGTTTTGGCCAGTTTCAGCTGAGCGACCAAATGCACAGGATGTCTTCTTGCAGCGCTGCTGTAACGTTTGGGCGCCCTGCGCTTATGTGCCTTGAAGCTGTGAAGCCAGAGAGTAGAACAAAAATCGAAATACCATGACATTATTATATCATTAATGACATTAATGACATTAATGACATTATTGACATTAATGACATTAATGACACTAATCATGATGACATTGTCAA